CCTTGGCCAACAACCAGACAAAGCAAGATACTTTGTAGGGTATTCTGCTTTTCCATATTTGTTTCCATGGCCAATTTGTAATTTGTCGGTTTGTCTGATCCATCAGTTTATAAGATCTATTGGCTTTATAAACTCCTCTATTGTTTCCTGTCCACTATAATATCCTCCCTTGTTTGAAGTCCATTGAAAGGCTCCACTGTGTTGAGAAATTCAGCTACTCTCTAAACCTCCCAGTCATTGAGTTGTCTTCTGAAGTTGAAGTTCTACCCCTGTAGTGTCCATAAATCTGCTTTAAACCCTTGTTGAATTGTAACTAAGTTGTAAACATCAGGAAATAACTCTTCCAAGTTGCCTTTCTCATGCCAGTTATCCTTCCAAAACATGGGTCTTTCTCCCATCAAAAAATTTCACCTTTGAGTTGTTCTTCATTTCATCCCACAGCTAATGGACCTCCAAAGGCTGACCTCATAAGGGAAAGTCACCTCTTTGATCATCCATTTGTCTTCTGCTATATATTTATCCCAATCACACATTCCCACATCAGTTGTTTACCATTTGCGTACTTCCAATTTCATTTGAAGAGCTTTACTTTGCAAGTTTAGGTTCTTAATCACCAAACCACCATTCTTCTTTCCAGTTATCACTTTACCAAGTGAAATCCTTTCTTTTCCTTATTACCCTGCCATAGAAATTTCCTTCTAATACTGTCCAGCCTCTTGGTGACCCTTGTTGGGATAGGAAAAGGGAACATCATGTAAGTAGGAAGAGCATCAAGTACTAAATTGATTAGTGTCAATCTTTCACCCGTAGACAAGTTTTGTGTTTTCCACCTGGCTAGTTTTTTTCCACACTTCTTAGTCACACTGTTCCATATATCTATGAACATAGATTTGGCTCCCAAAGGTTATCCCAAGCATATAGTTGGTAGAGTGCCAACTTCACCGCCAAGGATTGTTGCTAACCAGCTCATGTTGTTGACTTCATTAATATGGTACATTAGACTCTTTCTGCATTTCATATGCAAACTAGAGACCCCTTGAAACAGAACCAAAATCACTCTTAAGTGCTTCTGTTGATCTTCCTCAACATCACAAAAGATAAGTGTATCATCTGCATATTGTAGATGTGTCGCTTCCAAATTGTCAATCTCTTCTCTAGACACTTCAAAAACCCTTTATCCAACCTTTTAATTTGGCTGTCTTGATCATGTTATTCAATCCTTCCATAGCAATTAGGAACAGAAAAGGTGACAAAGGATCACCTTGCCTGAGTCCTCTATTTTTTTTGTAATTTTGAAACTAGTAACTTAAGCCTAAGTCCTCTATGTGATTGGAAAAATCCTGTCGGAGAACCATTGACTAGAACTGAGAAGCTGATTGTTGAAATACATCGCTTTATCCATTTCAATCAATTTTTCCCAAAAGCCACCATTCCTAATATCTTCATAAGGTATCTCCAATAACATGGTCATAAGCTTTCTCTATGTCCAGCTTACATAGAATGTCTGGTTTCTTCTGCTTAGCTCTAGAATCAACAGCTTCATTGGCAATCAAGATTGCATCCATAGTTTGTCTCCCTTTAATGAATGTCATTTGCTAAGAATCTACCAACTTGCTAATCACCCCTTTCAATATACCAACCATTTGTTGAGAAACATTCTAGCATTTAATTAATCTTGAAGAATGGATGTATCTTTACTTGCTTCATAATGATCCTTGAGGCGACTACCCCTCTATTAGAATAGTACTTAATTTCAATTACACCTTACAGGCAAATAAAGAAAAATAAACTCACTAGCTATTTTACCCATCCTAAACATAGCTGAAATTAAGTGATAGGAATTTTTGTATGCCGGTCAACTGTTGTATTGAAGATAATGTACAGCTTGCGTCCAGGTAAGGTAATTGCAATTTGTTTCTAGAAGTACAAAATTCGGCTACAAAAGATAACCAAATGGCAACCCAAGTGTGTGACTTAGTAGTCAATGAACTGGGTTGAGAACCATAAGGTCTCATATTCAAATCCTAGCAGAGACAAAAATACTAGGTGATTCTTCTCATCTATACTAGTCTTGGTTGACAAAGTTACCCGGTACCTGTTAGTTGTGGGAGGTATCCGTGGAATTCGTCGAGTTGTGCGCAAGTTGACCACGATTATCAAAAAGAAAAGAAAAAGGTAACTAAATGGCCGTCAAAACAGCAATAACTATATGAAACGACTAGTAATTCCAAGTCCACAGCAGAACCACGGAATTCAGAACTTTAACTCTTTAATTGCAACAGCAAATAGAGAAAAAGAGAACGACGCAATATACTTTGAGTTTATACACCGGTCCATTAATTCTAGCAATCAAAAGCGCATTGGGAACAGTTCAAAAAGGGGAAATTCAAGAGCATCAATTACATATGTGAAGGGAGGAAACGATGTTACCTTTTCTTGGTGAAATTGAAATTGATGGTGAGAGAATTACGGAGACTTTTTGAAGGAGGAATCAAATGAGAACAGAAATCACTTTGGAGCAATGTTGCCCAGCTTCGTCGCCGTCGTAGTCGCCGCCGCCGTCGTCGTCACGCGCACTCAGGCAATGATAACTTCAGAACTATTTTGACTTTGTTTACGATTTTCTTTTCCTTTTTCTCTTTTTTTTTTTTCTTTTCTAGACATCCTTGGGTTGTTTGGGAGAACTAAAATTTTAACTACAACTTTAGTAGTGTTACAAAATAGTCTCATGAAAGCAAATTCATTAGGGAAAATGACATTATGGGAGACAATATATTGTATAAGGTAAAAATAGATGTGGTGTGTGTACGAATATACATAAAAAGTAGTGTTTTACATTGGAAGAAAGTAACAGGATTCATTTTGAAGAAGAGAAATTGAAATAAAGTTCGAAATCTGATTGAAGTTTAAATACTCAAAAGGAAGGATCATGAAGCTAGTCGTTATGCAACCGTGCAAGGACAATACCGAACATTACATCTTTGTCATTAAAGTCAAGTGAGACCTCATTAATAGGAAATATTTATGAGTTATCAAGTCAAGGAAAAATCATTCATATAAGAAAGGTCAAATCTTCATAATAGAGGATCGTTGAATTTTACCCTATCAATTTTCGTATTTTAATTATAATAAGTAAGATTGCAATTCTTATCATTTCTCGTGTATTTCAAGTTGTTTTGTGGTCATCTTTATCAAGGATATCACTGAAATCAGTCAGGCTTTAATTATTCAATTTCATTGATCTATTTATTTGTCGCTAATTCATTTTGTATTTAAAGTATATTTATACAATCTCTATCGATTCAATCCACTTGCCCTTAAACATCACGTACAAATTCAATTGTACCTTTTTTAGGGTAAGTAGTTTGACGCTTGTTGTGAGGCTAAGGACCAAGATATTGTTTTAGGTTCAATTAATTGTTCACTAACAAACTCTGTCTTTTGTGAAGCTAAGTGAACAATTGATTTAATGGATGACACTAGTAATGTTGATTAGACATTACCAACGCTAATTCACTCTTGAATGATTATCTGTCAACGAAGTTAGTTCTATCAATGAAGAGACTCGAAACATGAATGGGTAGGAGATTTTTCTGTAAGAATCTCAACATTCAAACTGATCAATACTCAACATTATGATGTTATCGACGAGCAGAATACGATAGGATTGCCAGTTCTGACTTGCTGAAAATCTTTGATATACTAAAGGGAGCAATGACATTGTGCTCTTTAATACCTAGTCATTCAAGTAAACTTTTTGAAATACTGTGATTTTTTTTTTTTATAAAAGAGTATGCCAATGCAAAGAATGTACAAATAAGAAAAGTGTACATATTTGAAATCACTCAAGGAAACATAGAAATATTGTGTGAGTTCATGATCTGATTTCAAAAATAAAAAATATAATTACCTCCGATTCTAAATGAATGAGGCGCAGAAGCTTTTATTAAGGGCTTAGCCCTAGAAGCTCTAGCGCGCCACGAAGGAAAACTTGTTAGAATTCTCAACAACAATATGATGAGATGTGTGCAATAGGTCTTAATCAAAAATTAGCTAAAGAACTTTATAATATTTGGTGATTTGATTCTAGTATAACTACTTTTATGTTTATTAAGTAGGAAGAATTCTTATCCAAACTACTAAATTCTTCTAAAGTTATTCTTACTTTTGAGAAATCATATAAGTTTTATTTGAAGGCACATGAACTTGAAACTCAATCTACGATAATGAATATCACCTAATGATCATAAACATTTATATGTTCCTTAATTATTAGGAATCTGATTTCTTTTTCAGAATTTAATGATTCTAGATTTTATTTTAAACTTTGACATCAATTTTTCAATTTATAAAAATGACTTATACATAATTTGTAATTTCATGATATATTTCTCGAATTGCTTTCCTTATAATAGTGAAACTAATGGTAGCTCATTAGATGAATGTTTTGTTTACTTGTGGCACAAACGCTTATGATTATTCATCCCAAGAAAGAATTAAAAGAAATAGTAAATTCTCATAAATTTAAATCTTGCTAACCTTGATATACATTTGGATTGTAAAGGTAAAACAAATCAAACATAGTAAAAATAGTATCACAAAAAACACTCAGTCTCTTAAAATTATACACACTAGCACTTGCAGATCCTTTAGTATTTCATTTTTTGGTGGAGAAAATATATTATAATTTTTATGAATAATTTTCAGATTATGAATATATCTATTTGCTGAAAGAAAGAAAATACTCAAGTGACAAATGCTCTCAAAGTATATGTTAATAAGGTTAAAAAATACTTAGATAGAAAAATGAAAATTATTATGTCATATAGAAAAATCTATAAGATAGAGAATTCTATAACGATCTGTTTCATCATTATTGAACTTTCCGCAATACGATAGTAAAAAATTTAAAAATCCCAATATGAGTTTTGTTCTAAGATAGATAAATCATAACAAAAGTGGGATATGATTTGATGGGGCACACTACATCGGTCAGGAACTGTTGTACCGAAAGTCGCAAACATAAATTTGAATTAAATTATTTCAAGAGTTAAACTTCTAATCAAAGGGGGATTTCTTTCTCCTAAAGAAATTTTATAGATGAAGCATTTTAAAAAGCAGCGAGGGAAAGTTGTTCAAGAAACAATTTTGTCGCTAACAAAGAGGAGTTTAACCAGTCTCTCCTGTTTTCATTCCTTCAAAGACCACAATATTCTTCTTTTTGTGTTAGAAGAACATAATATTCTTCTTTTTGTGTTGGAAGACTACACTATTTTTTTTGTGTGTTAGAAGACCACAACAAAAACGAATTTTATAGGGTTTTCTCGATCATTTTCTTACAATTTTTTCGTTAAAATTTTGACTCGATAGAAAAAAAATAAAGTTGCAGGAGTATCAAGGCATCAACTTGGCATCGGGGTAGGTTATAATTTACATTAAATATAGAAAATTATAATGACCCATTCCGATTGCTATGCGTAGACCAATGATGAAAGATTTGAATCTATAAAACTTATAGTGATTTGAAAATTTGGGATTAAGCCAGTCTCAAGTGAAATCAGAATGAGGTGTGGTGTAGGGCAATTCGAAAATGGATTGGGTAGTATGTCTAGTCTTGTATCATATTTTTAGTAGCTAAGACATTAAGAAATTCATAGGGCTTTCCGGAAGTGAATTCCGGTGAGTAGAACTCCCTATATTGATCTTTGCATGAATGGATTATGTTGGAACGTCAAGGATCAAAGTGTGCTGCGAAATGAGGGCTTTGGGGAGAATTTTTGAGTTTCTGCCTTTGTGCAACTCGCTATAATGAACACGACAATTCCATCCTTTTTTTTTCCAAAAAAATCCTTTATAAAATCTTTTTAAAAAATTCATACTTCACCCCCCCCCCCCAAACCACCCACTCATTCCCCCAAAAAAATTGATATTATTTTATTTCTTAAAAAAAATAAAAATTCTACCCCATCCTATTGAACTCTCCGCTCCTAATTAATTTATTTTATTTTATTTACATTTTTCTCGTTTTGTGTTAGATATGTACATATATTTTTAGGATTTTTTTTTTCTACTTGTGTACTGAATATAACATGAATAAATAAAATTATTTTAAAAAAAGTCTTGCGGCGGCAAATAAAAAATATTTTCGATATATATATATATATATATATATATATATATATCTAACACAAAACGAGAAAAAATTTGAAAGTAAAAGGCTAGGTGGAGTGGGTAGTATTGTTTTAAAAAAAAATTAAAATGGGGTGAAATATGTAAAAATCAAATACTTTTATAAAAGAAATTTAAACAAACAAAGGAGGGGGGGGGGGGGTGTACGGTGAGAGGAAGTGATGATGGGGTAAGAAAAATATTTTACATTTTATTTTATAAAAAATATATTTTTTAAATAATAAGTTTTTAATCTTTAATTTTTACTAATACTAATAATTTATTTAATTTTTGTCAAGGTGCATAGAATGTTTTGTCCATGTGAAGTGTGATGTGACATTTTTTTTAAATAAAAAAGAGAGTGTATTACACATACCATGGTGAGAGTGTTATAAAAGAGAGATGTGCGTTTCTCAAACTAATAAGTGATAGTTTATGTATGAAACTCAAAAAAAGAGAATAATTAGGTGTGTTTTTGACACTTATTTCTATTTTTTTTATGTAAGATTCTCTTGTTCAATTCTAATATACATTAATTTTAAGTTTATGAGACTAGATTATTTTCTAAAAAAAATTAGAGGTCAAGAAAATGAAGAGAAGATCTTTGTTTTGTGAGTAAATAATAAATATGTCATTAAATATTTGTGTTATGTGGTCAACCAAGTAAAAAAACATTAGACCTTTATTATAATAGAAATGTGTAACACAATTAATGTAAAATTCATAAATATTTAATGAAGAACAAATTTAGTTAGTTGCATAGGATACTTGATGAACATACCATATTAAATCACATTTTTTACAAATTGATCTTCACTTCATCTCTTAAGTTATCACATAATTTTTTCTATTTTTTCATCACTCATAGTTATGATAATTTAAGGTCAGAGCAAAAAGGTAGAAATCAGATTTTTAACAAATGCTTTCGCTCCTCTCTATGATATGTCCTCTACTTCTTAAGGTATGTTCTTTGTTACATTTTCCTATAAGATTATCATGTTCAAACTCTAGTATAGATTAAGTTTAAATTTAAGTTTATAAATCTCAGACAACCAACCATTTTTATTTTTTTTAATAAATATGATAAAATTGAACAAAGCATAGATAGAAAAGAAGAATAGAGAGCAAAGAGCATTGAAACTTGAAATTTGAGTTTTTATAGTGGTAATTAGGGGTGGCAAAATGGGTAATTAATATGGGTATTCGCTCATATTTACCCATTTTAAATGGGTTGGGTATCCAATTCATTTAAAAATTGGTAAAAACGAGTAATACCCATATTACCCATTTAAAAGTGGATAATTAAATAAATAAAATGGGTAAAAGATATGCATTCACACAAACAAATAAAAAAGTGATAAAGGGTGGGTAGTAAGAAAGTCTTTTTTTTTTAAAAAAAAAATCTATAAAAGAAATGAAACTTTTTTTACATTTTTTATGGGATAGGGGTGGGAGGTTGGTAGGGGGTAGGGGGTGGGTTGTAATTTTTTTTTTTTTTAAAAATAATTGGAAAAATTTTAAAATTTTGTATTTTTTTTTGGTGGGGTGTGGAGGGGGAGGGGATGGGGTGGTAATTTTTTTTTAAAAATATTTTAAAAATTTTAATGAAAAAATTTAAAATTTTGTTAATTTTTTTTTGGAGGGAGGGGATAGTAGGGGGGTGGGATGGTAATATTTTTTTTTAAAAAAATTTAAAAAATTTTAATGAAAAAATTTAAAAATTTGTTAATTTTTTTTTGGATGGGGTGTGGAGGGGGGGGGGGTTAGGGGGTGTGGGGGAGTGGTAGGGAGGTGGGGTGGTAATTTTTTTTACATTTTTTTTTGGGATAGGGGGTAGGCGGGGGCTGGTAGGGGTGGAGAGAAGTGATAAAAAAAACTTAATTTTTTTTGTTTTAAAGCTTTTAACAAGATTTCTATTATAATATGGGTACCCATATTATCCATTGGGTAACTCATTTTTACTCATTTAAAATGTGAGTCGAGTCGAGTAACTTATATATTTTTATTTTTTACTCGTTTTTGATCAATTCATATTCGACTCGACTTGCTCGTTTACCACTAGGAGTGGTAATTTTGATATTTGCATGACATACATTTTATTTGATTTTTTTTAATAATTAAACTAATATTTAAAAATATTTTTTTTCAAAATTTATGTCCCAAAATACACAGGACGTGCAACAAGTGTGAATAAAATAAACAGGAAAAATACTAAACTCGGTTTCGAAGTCTCACTCTCGCTCTATCTGTTTTTGTGTCTCTCTTCCTGGTTGGAGGTTGCGACCTTTCTCTCTCACGCACACACACACTCAATTACATTAGACCCTTCACAAATTACACCGTCAAAAACAGCACACCTCAATACAAAGAAGGGCTCTTCCTTTCTTCTTCAATTACCCGCCCGAAAGGTATAATTTTTAACCCTTACAAATTCTTAATCCCCCTTATTTTTTTCAAATTTCTCACTCTCTCCCTCTTCCTCTCTCCCTTTTTTTTTCTCTCTAGGGTTTCTCATTCTCCCCTTCCCCTTATGGCTTCGTTTCTCTCTCGTCTTCGCAGGTCTCTCGAGGAACTGATAGCATTGCTGTGTCGGAAGAAGGATTGTTTTGCTGATTCAGTGTACTCTGTAGGCGTGCTTAGAGGATTGTCATTGTTGCAGCGATTTCTAGGTGAAAATTTTCAAACGGTGTCGTTTTTGTTGATTTGCTCGTGAGGATTGGTTAGGGTTTGATGGATTCCGTGGTTGAGATTCAACCGGAGATTGGATCTGACGGTGTGGGAGTGAAAAGGTTGGCTGATGATGTGGAATTGGAAGAACCAGCTCCGAAGAAGGCGAGGGGTGTGGTGATTGGGAATACGAAGAAGGTTGCTGAAATGGTGCTTGTACTTGCTGCTTTGGGAAAGATAAGAGGGGGTAGGGTTCCTACTGCTGCTGAGAGGGAAATGATGACAGAGGCAAGGGAAAATTTGGCTCAGGTATGCCAAAGTTTTGCACCCAAGGATGTGTTTCCAAGAGATGCTTTTGGTGCTGTTATTGAGGATCTCGGTCTTAACAAGCTGAAGGATCAGAGGCTAGGATTTCGCCCTCCTAAAGTGTCCATTGCTGAGAAGTTACAGATAGCCAAAGAAAAGGTAGGTCAACTTTTTTGCTTCCTTTTTCTTGTGGGGAAAACAAGTTTATTTAGTTCAAGTACTCCAGTCTTATTTACTTTTTCGACGGGCAATGTTTATTCTGATAGAATCAAAATGAACTTATGTGCAGAAAGTATATTCGAGTACATAGGCTTGCAGGTTCTTTTGAATTAGTTGATTGATATTCTGTTCTCGTTTGTTAATTGTGAACCGTAAGGGAAAAAATAATTGCCCAAATGTTTCATATAGCAGGGTGGTAGAATTGGAGCTTCCGATCCTCTTCCCAAGTGTAGGGATTTTAACATTTTTGATGAGTATATACATGTGGTGTAGACATTCCCGTCATAAAAAGACGCCCGAGATGACTTAAATATTTGAATTTTGAGTCAGGGGCAGCTTAACTATATATATTCTTTTGAAGCCTATTTTCCTAACCTTTTGAGATGTGAAGTTATTTTTTTTTTAATAATCGATTTCTTATAATAATTCTATCTCAATTGATAATATAACTAATCAGTTTGATATCTCTTGAGACATTATTGATCTTAGGTAAGATTTGATCAATTTAATTTTAATTTTTTCCGCCCGAGGCAATTATTTTACAAACCGTTAACATTCTTTTGTAAGCGATATAAGTATTTGAAGAAGAATCAAGTCAATTTATCTAATTGAATTGCCGATTGTAGTATTATCTTCTACTTATACTATTTTCCTTAGGATTTTTAACTTGAAAAATAAGTCACCATCAATATTAGGATGGCTATAATGTTGTAAGGAACTTTCTTGATTAAATTGATGTCTTTTTTTAATTCTCATCATCTAGTGATCTTGATTTTTTACCCTAAATAAAAAATTAAAATATGCTCACACGCTTTGAGTTGTTCTAATCTATTTTAAGTATTGGTCTACAATGTATTAGGAGTAAACAACTCAAAAAGATTCTTCAAACATTCTCATCAAATCATTTCTCTCTACATAATACACGTTTATAATGAAATTCTCTGGTTTTATGTTCACCATGAATACATTTTTTCTTAGTAGAATTTCTTGTACCCAAAAGACTATTCCTATTCCCTAAAATAATACTCAATCGTTGAAAACAAAGTTTCCTATCCTTTTTTAAATGAAAATATTGTACTTTGTAAATTTAAAATACTCAAATTTCTGAAGAACAATTAATGCATTACTATCAAAAAGAATGGGGCCGTCATAATTGGTGAGGCCTAAAGCCTTTGCTTTAGATGCCTTAATGCTAAAGCCAACATTGTTTTGAGGGGCAGGGAATATGTGAAGTGCATGTAGAACTTGAGTTTGAATCGCAAGTTATATTCACTGCCCTTCAATTGAAAAATCTGGCAATTTAGGAATTCTAGTTCCAATATAACCAATTTGAAATTGATTTCATTGAGTTGTGGCTTATACATCTTATCGAGGTCTACTTTGTCTTTCCCCTTGTGCTTTTAGTTGGAAAAAACTGAGGAATTTTCTGTACCCGCTGCTACATATTCATCTCAACGGCCTCAATCTAATATGGCTGCAACAATTGAAAACCGTGGTCCATCACATGTTCGTATGTTTCCTCACAATAAAGCAAGTCATGTGGTAAATCCCTCAGGAAGCTTCCAATCTGCTTCGCCTTTGGTTCATGGAACTCCGGCAAGTTCTGCACCATTACCTTATCAGCTGCCTACCAGTGAGGTCAGACCAGTAATTTCTAGTGGAGTGGTCTCTGGTAATCCAGTAAGGGATTCTTCTCTAGTTGCATTGCCCAGAGTTGACAGGCCGAGTTTCAGAATGGATGGACGACCAAATGGATCTTCCCATATGTTGCAAGTTCAAGGTAACAACAATACATTTCTCCTAACTGCCAAAAGTGCTCAAGGATTTGTCCTAGATTTGTTTTTTGACTTCCCATATGGGGGATCTCTTATCCAAATCATGGATATAAATATGAATGTAGCATGTGGTGGACAATTGCTTTGCTTGGTCTGATTCGTGCACCATGTGTCAATCAAGTTAAAAAGGGCATGCTACATGATTACCTTTTTAGCATGCTTACCGATTTGCATCCTTATCTTCTCATTCTAGAAATTTGATTCCAAATATCATCACCATTTTAGTATTATTTTAGGGAGCCACCTCATTCGACTTTTAATTCATCTACTAATTCTTGTCACGTTTCCTTGTAGTTAGGTGCATAAAGAATATTAGTATTCTGATCTCGCTATGTTTGTATTTCCTTCAAGTGTTTTGTTGGATTTTGGGCTTTTTATTCTTAATTTTGGCCTGAACCATCACAAGTATATTGTTTTTTTATAGCAACTTCTGGAGATCATTCAGCTATAAGAACTCCAACCTGGTCGGTGCAACCTGCATCAGTTGCAGCAGCTAAACGTGGACCAGATACCAGGGTGACAGCACAGACAGGTAACAAAGTTGAGGGAGGAACTGATGCCAAATCGCAAATGACAGCATCTAGGCCATTTATCACTCAGACCACAGCTGGAAATCTACCAACTACACACCCACACTTACAAGGGGCAAGCTTTGTCAAGTCTCCTTCTCTTAGCAGTACTCATGCTGAAATTGGCAAGATTGTTCAGAAGTTTATTCAACCGCGCCTCTCTGATCGGCCTGCTTGGACTCCGCCGTCTCGCGATTATATTAGTAAGGCTTTGACTTGCCAAATGTGCAAGTCAACGGTAAATGAGGTTGATAATGTTCTTGTTTGTGATGCTTGTGAGAAAGGGTATCACTTGAAATGTCTCCAGATGACAAATCAAAAAGGAGCTCCTAGAGGGGAATGGCATTGTGGAAAGTGCTTGTCGATGACCAATGGAAAACCCCCGCCTCCTAAATATGGTCGTGTAATGAGGAATTTTAATGCCCCTAGAATATCTACAATTGCATCAGCAGTTCAATCATCACCGGATAAAAAAGCTTCTGGTATATATGAGAAGGTTATTCTACAGAAGTTTGTAGCGAATGGAAAGGTTCCTCTGAAGAACTCTCCTCCCGTTACTATGGAAAATAATGATAGGAATCTAAAATCTGAGCCAATGATGGAAAATGAAAAAGAAATGGGAGGAAATATTATTGTGTCGGGTAAAGAAAATATGGAGAGTAAAGATTCCATGAGATCTTGTTCAAATAATCTGACTGTATCTTCCAATGATCAGTATCTTTCTACATCTGCTGGTTCACCAGTTAATACATCTTGTGAAGAAAAAGTGGTTGAGTTGAAACCTCAGGCTCATCCTGAAACAGTTTGCCATTCATCTGATCCCTCTCAAGCTCTTAATCACCTGCAAACAAGTGACCATGAAGAGGTGGAAAACACTGCTGCGATGCCATCAAAGCAGTTTTGTGAAACTCAGCCCATGGTCAGTAGATCAAATGTAGGTAACAGTTCAAGTAATGAATCTAAAAACGAAGAGCAAGCTGTTGAAAAAATAAATCCGGCTGAAACTGCTGTAGCGACCAATGAGGATGCTGAGTGTAGTAGCTCATCATCTGATCATTTTCAAAATGTTGACTGGATTGGAAACGTTCTTCAAGTTGCAGATGACAAGTATTATTATCAATCTTGCCGCATTAATGGATTCATATATAGTGTTCAGGACTATGCTCTTATCCGTTTTGAGAATGAGAGATTGATTCCTTCAAAGCTTCTGGTAAGACCTCACTTCATTAGAGTTTGACCTCTTTTTCCAAAAATGAATAGATTTTGATTTCCTTGTTTTTTTGGGGATAAGAATTATTTAATTGTTTTCGTAGCAGTGTTTACAATGTTTTGGCTGATTCAAGTTAAAACTACTGAGCCTACTGCCAATGTCTTGGTGTATGGTCAACGATAAGGTTGTTTTTCCAATGAAATATTGAGCATTAGTTGTACTGACATTAGCATTTATTGGAATTATAATCACTTTGAATTGTTTGTGAACTAAGTTCAATACTGAGATCATTTCCTGTTGCATTCTGATATCACCCATTCAGCTTTGTCATTGACTTTTACAGGTTTGGCATTTGCTTGCCAGTTAACATGTAACATGTTTCACCTCCAAGTCCTTGCATTACACCTGTTGAAATTCAAGATATTTTTTACTAATTCCATTCCAATTATCGCGACTCTTCTTTTTGGGACGTTTCTGACACCATTCCACTAATTTATACTATTTTATAATTTTTTAACAACATTTAAGAATTCAAGTTTATTTAACTATTCAAGTTTTACTTATTGATCTGATATTTGTTGTAAAGAGCTCAAAAAAGTAAGAAAGAAGGCATTCGAGAGGCTGACCGCTATTGTCAAACAATCTTTTTAAACATCATGTTATTATTTTCTTCTATTATTACTAATATTATTGCATATAAGTCATGCAATCTTTTTATTTGGGATAACCAATAATTCCCTGGGAATTCGTGCATACGGTTCGAAATTAGGTGGGGTAATGGCCCCACCTCTCCACTTAAATACCAGACTTTTGTCTGAGACAAGACTCAAGCCCGTGATGTGTGTCTAACCAGCACATCCCAAGTTGCACTGTTACCACTGGACATAGCCCTGGGGGGAAGATCCCTGACATCTTAAAGGCCGTGTCCAGTCATATGTCATATATAATGGAAGGAAGGAGTATAAAGATATAAACATTTTAGTCTGTCATTGGGTATGTGAAAATTTGTGCTTTTCTTTCCTTAAGATTTAGTATTTACTTTTTTTGAAATAGAAAAAAAAAAAAAAAAAAAAAAAAAAAGTAAATACTAAATCTTAAGGAAAGATTTGCGATGTTTCTTCTAATGCTATTTTCCAGTGTTATCAAAGGCGCGCTTTAAGCGCGCTTAAGCCCTAAAGCGAGGCTCAAAACGTGTTGAGCGCTTCGCCTCGCTTTATGTGCGCTTCAGTGCCGTCATCAAAGTTCTAAGACAAACTTTTCCTTGTCAATGAGCCTCTTATGAAGAAGTGACACTAAACAATTGATATTTCACTTTATCATTAAAAAAATTCAATTTCCTTGGTCATATATTTGTCATTCGTGTTTATAGTTATTAGTTTTGGACTAAACATACACATTTTATTTTTTTCTCCCTTTGCGCCTTTTTTTATTAAAGCCCACGCTTTATTTGCACTTTGCGCTTAAAGCCCCCACGGACCTTAGAACTTTTTTGCGCTTTTCGCTTTTAATAACACTGCTATTTTCTGAATAGTTGTGAAAATTTTTTCTAGTAGTGGTTACGAGCATAGCAAATATCACTGGCTATACATAATTATGTCCTTGGTAGTTTTGCTACCACATCTAACTATCTTGATATGTATCCACGTGATTCATCTGGAGAAGCCTCAACTTCTTACCTGCAGGCCATGTGGGAGGACAAAAAAGCGGGAACAAAGTGGGTTACTATCAATCAATGTTACTTTGCACGTGAATTACCACAGTCTGTAGGCCGCCCATGCTTGGAGAACAATAATGAGGTAAACAACTAATTAATTTTGCGTTCTGTCTTTTGGTTTATTTGCTATGACTAGGGATAGAATTCATGATTGTATGGTCTTTTCTTGTCATCATCATGCATTTTGGAATAAATTTAACAACTATGCCTTAGTCCCCAAAAAATTGGGTCGGCTACATGAATCCTTATTGACCATGTTTCTCCATTTAAAATCATCTCAAGCCATCATATCAAACCATGTTTTCTGCTGATTCCTTCCCCACTTATGGCTCTACATTGCCCTTTTTTAATTAATATATATTGTCTTGTTGAATTTGTGTTCTGAAAGTTTGGTGTGTAATTTACCTGGTGAAATTTTGTAAAAATTTTTCCCAGGGGAATTTAGGAGTGAATATTTATCTGCATAATTCACTGTGTAGAAATCCCGATTCGATGCATATTTCTCTTATGCAGTTTAATTTGAAAGGGTATGATATCCTACATAACCTCATCGGTTCATCCTGCCCGGAAAACACCTTGGAGAAAAGGGTTGTTTAATCTTGGCTTAAACTGATGGAACTTGGGATAAGTGATGAATTAGGGAAATAGTTTTGTTCTGAGACTGTTGAAGTCTGAAAAAGTGCAGAACATTAAGAGTTGTTTAGAACTAAGAAGGTGAGAATAGGGAGAGGAGCAGAGAGAGGCAGACTGGAAGCGCATTAAAATATCTGAAATATTCTTCTTCCAAGTAATTTGGAATAACATAAGCCTTTACTAGAGGAAATTACTTAGCAATCAAGTAGGATGGCAGCTCGAAGGATAAGCTGTCCAGCAACTTCCAAAAGATCTCCAACATTTGTCAACCAAACTTGCTGCCCATGTTTCAGTACAATAAAATAAAGCATGGATTGACCAAAACACTGACCAACCAAGTTTATTGGAAAAATCTGGCAGATTGTTCCAGCCTAAGGAATAGCAGATGCTTCAAAGGAAACTCTTCTCAAATCCACCTCCTGAATATAGATACTAACTCACAAACATTTGTTGCTGCCTGCTGGAGTAACCATCTTACTGTAAAACAATTTTGTTTATTTTTCTTTTTGAATTTTATTATATCCCCCTAGGAAGCATTTAGAAGGTCTCACTATTCAAGAACTAGCTCTTTTTTGCTGCAGCTTGTATCTTCCAGCATCTACTGGATGCATTTTTAATGAAATCTCAGTTTAGCTGTTCAATTTTGCTTTTTACTGATTAGCCTAGAGGCAAACACATGCATGAGTAAACTTGGAAGGAAAATATTACGAGCATTTTAGTGGTGTAGAGTCCACCTAAAAGACAATTATGAAATTATTGAGGTCTATCATATAGCCTGTACTCTGATTGAGAGCCCATCAGAGCCCTTTTTAGGTTGTTTGTTCTTGAATGCATCTCTAGTGATGCTTCGAGGCATTTTTGTCCTACAAGAATCCATTCAACTTATTTATATTATACTACTTGAACAAGATATTGAATCGTAACAGGGGGTTGCATGCGACTACAATTAATTCATTAAAGCTACAATATCTTGCAGAAAATGTATGAAATATGGCTTACCAACCTGGTTCTTTGTCTATTCTGCTACCGATATGATATTTAGCATGCAATTAGATGATTGATGTTCCATGCTGTAGAATCTTATGTATCACTGCTGGTCCTTTTACAGGTTTACTTGTCTACTTATAGTAGCATAGTTATGGCTGGCTTGATACAAGGTCCGTGTGAAGTACATCCTCCACGAAAGTTTGCCGAGGAAAGTGAGAGGAGAGCTCGCCTAGCAAAGGGGTCTAATGATGTATCACGACCTCTTTACATATGCAAGTAAGTTGAACATTTCACATTGGCACTAATCCTTCTAGCAATGAAGCAATTTCTAAATAGTGCATGTCTGCTTGATACAATTGCATTTTCTTCTTTTGATAACTTACACTAGTATTAGTACCTGCACGATATAAAAAAGAAGCTAATTGTAGCATATTGGTATTCATATCTTATTTATAATATCACATCAAGTTTGATTTTTTAATATTTAAATTGTCTTTTTTGCTATAACCATTTTATTTTTTCTTTATAAGTCAATTTCTGATATTCTTATACATGAAAAGTAAATTGAAGGTTGTCAAAGTGATTCTTTAACTGACCTAGAAAAGAACAGACGACAAAGTCCTTATGAGGGTTCTGTTAAGATGTTTGGATGCTAGAGGCGTACCTATAGCTTTCATTAGGGCGTTTAAGGACATGTTTGGGAGAGCCAAGACCCGAGTGAGGACATTGGAAGGAGACTTGGAGCACTTCCCATTCATGATGGTGTTGCACCAGGGATCAACTCTTAGCTCATTTATTTTTGTCTTGGTGATAACACACATCCAAGGGGAGGTGCCATGATGCATGCTATTGCATATGATATAATATTGATTGATGAGACACGGAACAAAATCAATGATATGTTGGAGGTTTGGAGACTCTAGAGTCTAAAGGGTTTAGGTTGAGTCGAGCTAGGACTAAGTACTTGGAGGGTGAGTTGGGTTGTATAACTCATGAGGCAGATATGGAAGTGAGAATGGACACACAAGTCAACTCCTAGAGAGGAAGAGATTGGTGATGATGGTACAAATTGTACTGGAGCGGGTTGTAGGGGTAAGGTTGCGTACACACCTCCCTTGGTACATTGTTGTAACTAATGTAACATAAATTATTTCTGATGATTTACTTGCTCCCATCTATATTAATATTCTTTGAAAAAACCACTATATCAATACTCAAGTTTTTCCAAGTTCTCTCTCTTATCAATATTTTCTCTTTACACTAAAAATGAAATTTTCAAATAAATGTGACTACACTCCATTTTAAAAAATTCAAATCAAATTCAATAAATAAGCACACTCAATAATTTTTTAAACTACATTTCATGTTATTCCACTGCTTGTCCAAAGCATGCCATGCTATTTATTTATAATTTATCACTTGTGACTCGATTAAATGCCATTGGGCATACATATATTAAGCAACAATACACCTATTGTAATCCCTCTAAAGGTTGTTAGCAGAAAAAATAGAATTTACATTTTTTCAAACTCTTAAATGTAAAATAACTCTGCCTCGTCACTTTGTGGAACTTACCTTCAAGTGACCTATTGTAATCCCTCTAAAGGTTGTTATTAGAAAAAAAAATAGAATTTACATTTTTTCAAACTCTTAAATGAAAAATAACTCTGCCTCGTACAACAAAGTCGGTCTAACCACCACTTTGTGGAACTTACCTTTAAGTGTAAGTGGTACCTTTTTATCACAAGACTTTGGAGGCAAGTCTCTACTTCATCAACGCTGCACTAATATGATGTGTGACATCATTGCTACCTTGGATTAAAGACATGAGATACTTGAAACTCTCTCTCTTGGGATAGCTTGAGTGTTGAGCCTCACTTACACGCCTGCTTTGTGCATTGCATCATTAAATTTGCACTCCAAATATTCCATTTTGGATCTGCTTAATCTGAAACCCTTTAGATTCTAGGGTCTGTCTTTACAATTCCAACCTAGTATTAACTCTATTGCGTGCCATATCAATTAGTATTGTCATCTGTAAATAGCATACAACATAACATCTCATCTTGAATACACTGCGTCAATTCATCCATCACCAAGGCAAATAAGAACTTGCTAAGGGTTGATTCCTGGTGTAACCCCATCTTAACTGAGATGTGCTTCGAGTCTTCTTTCACTGTTCTAACTCGAGTCTTTCTCCATCATAGATGTCCTTCATCACTCTAATGTATGCCATTGATACCCCTCTAGCCTCTAGGCATCTCTAGAGGACTTCCCCCGGGACTATATCGTAGGCCTTTTGAAGGTCAACGAACACCATATGTAAGTTCCTCTTCCTTCCCTGCATTTATCCATTAGTCTCCTCACAAGATGAATGGCTTTTGTAGTTGATTGCCCCAGATGAAATCGAACTTGTTCTTGAAAACGGACACTCTTTTCACCCTCATCTGCACCACCCTCTCCCAAACTTTTCTAATGTGGCTTAACAACTTGATACATCTATAGTTGTTGTGATTTTGGATATCACCCTGTTCTTGTACAATTGAACCGTTGTACTCCACCTCCATTCTTTGGGCATTTTTATCGTCATAAAAATGACATTAAGCAACTTGATTACCACTCTATTCGTGCCCTCTCCATATTTGCCATGTTTGTGCTCTTCTAGAACTCCACCGAAATCTCTTCTGGACCCTTACTCTTTCCCTATTCATCCTACAAATAGCATGCTCAACCTTCTCAACCTTAAACACTTATAATACCCAAGATCCTGATGCCTATTACACAACTCCAAATCACTAACACAATGTCCCTTTCCCTTTTTCGTTTAAGAGTTTATTGAAGCAAGCTTGTTAATAGGTATATCTTCCACCAACAACTTTCCTTTCTTATTCTTAATGCACTTCACTTGATCTAGGTCTCAGGTCCTTCTCTCTCTTACCTTCGCTAGCCTATATAATTTTTTATCTCCTCCTCGTCCCCTGGTTCAACATACAAGCATTCAAATATTGCCGTCTTTGCTGCTGTAACCGCTAACTTAGCCTCCTTTTTCGCCGTCTTATACTTTTCCTTGGTCATCCTCTTTTCCCCCTCGTCCTTGCACTCTATCAACTTTGCATAAGCAACCTTCTTTGCTTCCACTTTGCGTTGGGCTCCTACATTCCACCATGTGGTTCTCCTTCTTCGAAAAGCATGAATTAGCTATCACCAACTCAAAAGCTCTAACAAAGTCCAAGATGAGGCTCCACCTTCGTCACTAGCCCCAAAACCAAAGCCTCCATGCACATCGTCAAAACCACTAGACGTTTCCCTAATGTGGCCATTGAAATCTCCGCTAGTGAGTATCTTCTTGGTGCATGATATACCCCTCACAACCTCGCCCAAATCCTCCCAAAAGTGGTTCTTGACCTCCTCGTCCGAGCCCACTTGCGGCGCATAAGCACTAAAAATGTTTAATGTAAGCCCTCCAACGACTAGCTTAATCGTTATCATCCTGTCATTGCTCCTTCTAACCTCCCCCACTTGCTCTCTGAGGACCCCATCAACTAAAATACGTACTCCATTAATATCTCTCAAGCCTCCAGAGTACCACAACTTAAACCCATTTACATCCCGAGTCTTGGTACCTACCCATCTGATCTCCTAGACACAAGCAATATTAATATTCCTTTTCTTGAGAATCTTCACTAGCTCTATGTATTTCCCCGTCAAAGACGCTATGTTCCAAGATCCTACTCTCAGTGTAGGATAACCCTTAAGTTTTAACCCCTTGCCATTCCTGCTACTCGCCCCTGGCCCCGACCAAAGACATGATCCTAATCGACCATCGTTCACCAAAGCTACTAAAGATGTAAACTAAACATGAATCTACTAAACAACTAAATCAAGCCTAAAGTCTTTAACTAGTAGATAGGCACGATAGCAAGCACTAACTACAACTATAGTATAAATCAGGAGTAAAGCAAAGAAGAATGTAAAGAACAGAGCAGTCAATGACAAACACAGACAAATATGGTCGAATAAAAGAGCACTACGGAAAGTAAAAGGTTCAACAGTAGGGTGTGTCCAATGAAAATATAACAAGAGTCGAGATGGAACCTGTTTTCGCATCAAATCTTGTAGAAAATGAGAAATCTGGTTTCTTTTTTTGTCGCCGGCTTTCAATGAAATTCACAGTGGGTTGCTGTATGGTTCTGTTCCTGTCAGATCTGGCCTTAATCAGAGGGATTTTCTGGTCAGGCCACTCTTTTCGGCGAAGAATGGTAGCAGCGGCCGGGTGGATCTCACCGGAGAAGATGAGAAAGCAGGAGGGGAGAGGCGGGGGGGGGGGGGGAGTGTGTGTATTCACTTACCTGCCACCGATGGGGCTTGGTCGTTGGAGTACTAGTTTGCCGGCGTTGGCTTTCGAGAGTAGACCGTGAGAGTCAAGAAAACAGAGCGTTGGGTATGAGAGGATATATATATAGAGAGAGAGAGCGCGTTGGGTGTAAATGCAAACAATTAATTAATTATTAATTAATAGTCAATTTGTTAATAAGTTGAGGTCTGACTTTTTCTTGTTATGCCACATGACTTAATGTGGAGGCTTTTTCCTCTCCATTTAATTATAGAAGGATCATAATTTTATTGTCGAAAATGGTTATATGAAATATTGTCACAATTTAGGGTTTCAATAACCGATTCAGTGAATTTAGGAGGCTACCGAAGAAATTTAGTGAAATAATTACCTAATTCCTATTTTCTTGGTGGTTAGATATTAATTGTATCTTCGAAGCTGATCAGGGGTGATGCAACAGCAAACTCTTAGATTGCTTGAGTTAACTTTGTAGATATAAGTCTACTTCATAAATGTGGTTGCTCTAGTTGCAACAGCACTCCACTTTCAACCACAAGGTTGGGAGTTCGGGTCACCAAGGGTGCAAAGTGTAAAAAGGGTCACTGTTGACTTCTGGGCAGGAGGTTTACTGGGTGGGATTTAGCATATCGAAAGAAAGGAAGATATGAAAATCTTCGGAGTTTATAATAAATAATTGATTATATGCAGCAGTTATTTTAAATAAATTAATAAGATGCAGACCATGAGATCAATCTATAAGCACGGCACTTTCGAAATCCCCTAGTTTCATATCTCTTGTTTGAAATGTCTGTGACTTTGTCAACTTTTTATGCAGATGGATTTATGATGAGTCAAAAGGGCTATTTCGTGATGTCTCTTGTTGATAGGGGTCAGCCGATAATTATCTTTCTATTGCAACTGCTATTGGCTCGTGTCTTTTGTCAGGTAAGTGAGATGTGGCCCATCTGTTTTGAGTTTTAGCTATCTTTCTTTGTTAATAATGGAAAATATCAGGTCTCTTTATTGCCTGTTTTTGCTTCCCTCACTCCCCATCCTTTATTAGTGCTGGTTGTGTGGGCCAGGGAAAGGTGGGTATGCATGCATTAAATCCAAGGAAGTCTATCAGTGTGGCAAAGATGGGAAACCTCTAATAACCCAAAACTATTACCATGTGATAGACGTTATTGTAGATCACTGTATCTTCTTGACCTAACAGATATATGGTCTCCACCTAATTATATAGGTAGTTTGCTTTTCATAGTTATTTATTCAACTTGCTGTATTAAGTAATGATATTATCATATACATCAAAGGGTCGATCTTTTCAGCTGCATCAATCTCATCATGCATGTGATACTTTTTGTTGCTGCTTATTTGTTGTGGGTAAAATAATTTTTTCTTTCCTCATATATACGTAGGGCTCGTTTGGTAGAGTGTATAAGAATAATGCTAAATAGAGTGTATAATGCTTGTATTAGTTATGGAAAGATTAGTTATAGGACCATAGATTTTGGAAGTACTCTTGTAAATATGGTTTCAATACAACCATGTACTAATTTGTTCCTTCTGATTCATATACACAATTACCAGTTTCCAAAAAAAAAACAAAACTGGAAAGCGACTCTTCCCAAATGCAGGTCATCAAGGGAAATGGGAGAGAGTATACTTATCGAGTTGACATGACTCACATTCTAGAATGGACAAGTGAGACAAACCAAGTACCTCCTCCGTTTCAATTTGTTTGTCCTACTTTCCTTTTTAATCCTTTTAAAAAGAATGCCTCTTTCCTTTTTTGGGAACTCTTTAATTTCAACTTCCCAAGTGACATGTTTAAGACTACAAAATTAAAGGGCATTTTAGTACATCTACATTTTCCCTTGTCATAAAAAAAGTACGTCTACATATCTTTAGTTGATGACCACATGCTACAAAAGTCTCCTTAAATGGAGGGAGTACCATCTTTTTGAAGTTTTGATAATCTGAGATGTCCTAATCATTTATCTAATAAATCGGGAGAATCAATAACATGACAAATGGTTGAAGGAGGACAATATATGAGTGATTTAGTAAGGGATACGTTGGTTGGTGATAGTTTTTTAAGGGTTGGGTTGCTGGAGTTCTACAAGCAAAGTGACAATGTTAGTTGATGCGCAACAACTAGAATTACTGTCGAACAAATAGTCACCGAAAATATGCACGGTGACGTAAACTTTGTTACTGATCACTGGTAAATGCACAACGATTAAATCTTCACACCAGCTCTAATATTATGTCAGAGAAGAGAGTTTGAGAGAGAACTCAACTTGATTATCTCAAGCCACTGGGGTTCTAAATAGCCAAGTGTTCTTAGTCCTCTAAGAAAGGAAAAAGAATAAAAAATTTCATAATTACAAGAGTATACTATATTTACAATATCCTAGAATATTCTAATAATAGAGATGTAATCAATTTGTAAAAGTTAAAATCTTTTTCCCAGTATAAGGTAGCTCTCAAAAATTGAGAAAGTGTTCTTATGAGTTTAATGAAAAATCAACTCTTTGTACAACTTAAAGAAGTCGGATAAAATTGGTAGAGTAGTAGGATATTTACATCTATTGGAGGACATTGGTTCCCAGTAAAAATGGTTTATCATTTGCACCTAATTCTTGTGGTTGAAATTTTCGCTGTGAAGTTGTATCTTGCTCCATTTCACTTGCCATGTTAACAAGCTTTATTTCATGTTTGGTTTTTCAAGTTTACATTTACATTGGTCATCTCGTGAAGTCAATCTTCTGGTCGATGATTTGTATTCTGGACTTTAATTGCCTGAAGGTTTGCTTAGATTAAAAAATGTTCAGGTTGCTAAACTTGTTATATTGGGAGTCGTGGAGTAGGTTTTAGGGGGTTGGAGTAGCGGCAAAGGGATGTGAGGGGGGGAAAGCATGAAAGTTTATAGAGTGACCTAAGATTTTAAACTAGAAGCTAAGTTGTTGAAATCACATGTTTCTTACTTTGCTCTTCTAAGGTTACTCATGGTTTTAACTTGCTTTCAATTCTCTAAATGCAGCTTGTTGCAGCACTGGTTGCCCTTGACATTTGTGGAGGAAGTCTCAGATGGTGTGCAATATTTAGCTTTAGGTCCGATCTGTATCATTCTTCCGGTAGTTATTTGTGTCCTGTCCATCCAATTCTTTTCTATTTTTATTAGATGATAGCAATTTCAAAAGGTGAGAAAAGTAGGTTGATGAATTTCATTCATCCAGCAAAGTATGAAATACAAACGTCTTTGCTTTTAACTTTCTATTTTCAAGTGTCACAGCTCTCAACTCAGCTGTGACCCCCTCCCTCCTTCCCCCTGGATTGGTGCAGACGCTGTCAAAACTCAGAAGGTTGTCGTTAGTGGCGTTGATTGGCTATCTATACTAGACTCAAATGTTATACTGCTTCGTTTCTGTTGGTAATTTATTTTGAAGATTTCTCATCAATTTTTATATTCGCTTCTCTTCTAAGTCCCCAGAAGAATGCTACTATTTATACTTGTGACTTATAATCAAGTAGTGGGAGCCTGTTGAATTGAAGGCCAATGACGCCTTCCTAGATTAGAATTGAGAAGCTGATTATGGCTCGTCAAGATGAGGAAGTTTGTGGTGTTCAATGTTATTGAAGGCACTTGTGTTTACCATACCCCAACAGAATACAAAAAGGTGTGATTGTTGGACAAGGGAGTTGCTTGAATGGTAAACACTTTTCACTTTCAACGTGAGTTCGAGTCATTAAGAGAGTAAAAAGATAGGAGCTCATGGGAGCGGGTAAGTTATTAAAAAGAACGGGTGTGATTGTGGGGCTTCATAAAAAAATTGGACACCCTCACTTTCAACTTTAAGGTTGTGAGTTTGAGTCGTTAAGGGAGTGAAAAGATTGGGAGTTCCTAGAGGGGTAATTTTTTTAAAAAGTGTGATTGTTTTCGCTTCGTAAAATAAAAGTTTTAAACAGAACAAGTACAAGTAAATAAAAAAGCAAATAAATAAATGTGAGTGCTAGTCAAAGATATTCTACATTTGATTCTTCACCGTACATAAATCACTTTTTTCTTTAAAAAATAATATAAAAGGTTTGGGATGTAATATTGTGAGGCGTTTTATGTTTTACTTTAAAAATTTGATAGTTTTCTCTTATAGGCTTGAAGTTTTGAACTTGTAGAAGAGCCCGAAGTTGTACTTTTGGAGTAATGGTTTTTTTTTTCCTTTTGGTTTAAAATTGACTTTTAAGTGTTTTGAACTCAATATAACTTATAAGCACTTTTGTGGCTATTTGGGTAAAATTAAAAGAAGTAATTTTAAGCACTTATTTTTAAATAAAAAATAAAAAAAGTCGAAATTTATTACCTATGATTTTTAATTTATAAGATAAAATTTATTAGTCCATCGATTATCTTAAAAGGCTATCACCCAAGCAAAACAAATGAGCCTCCTAGTCAATTATGCCTCATTTATTTTCGTTACGATTCAGACGTCTGAATCTGAAACGTGCATTAAGATTTGGATGTCCAAATCTGAATATACATTTGAATATTAAGATGTGGTCTCTAGAACTGAACACTGAATGATTAAGACTGTTTTGAACGTGTATATAAAATTAAATATTTTATTAATAAATTATTATAAAATTTTCATTTCAACAAAAAATATTACTTTTTGATAAAAAAAAATATTTTAAACGTTTACATTTGATTAAAAAAATTAAATTATACGATATGCAAATAAAATTTATTGTAACATAAATAATTTTAAGATTTTAACATATACATCTTCTCATAAAAAAAATTATGCAACTAATTAAATCTTGTTCCGATTCAATTGGTTAGATATAAGATAATTTAATAATTGACTAAGAATTAGTAGGATTAAATTTTAACGTTCAAACATTATAGAACGTGTCAAATAATGAAAATATACAATTATCAAGTATTTCCTTTTCTTTGCATTAGTTGAAGTACAAGTTCTTCACACATATTGCTCATTATCTGTGAACTTGCAGCTATCCAACTAGGTTCATTTGTTTCTTCAAAATAGAAATTTTAGGTGCAATAGAAAAAAATGTTGTAACCGGAGTGTGTGAATCCTCATAGATATCAGGTGCCCATATATATAGAGTCAAAAAATATATGGAGTCCAAAGGGTATGTGATTTTCTTCGGGGTTCGAGAGATGGAATAGATAAGGCCCCACAAGTTAAAAATTTGTCGCTGAGAATTCACACAAAAGGGAACGAGAAATTCTCAACAAAAGAATGCTCTATGAAATGAATGTGAAAGTAATTTTCCATGTGACGACTTTTCATGTAACTCCACTCTCGACTTGGATTATACATCCAAAAAGGTCCACTCTCGGTCATTTCATACGTTGCTTAGAAAGACGTGGTTATCTGAAGTGAATTCGCTCTTTTGTAGTAGATGTTGAACCTACTGTGTCTTATTGACTAAGAAAGGGGGAGACACAACAACTATATGGACCCCTTTCTTTCAGTTGTTTCTAACGCTTTCCCAGGCCAAGTCAATTTTTTTTATTATTATTTACAGATACAAATATTCTTTATCATTCTAATCTTGATATAATTCCAAAATGTCTATTCTTTGACTCTCCTATAGTTTATAATATATTCTTTCCATCTTGAATAGATATTCTAACAACAAACTACCTAGCTTATCCAGATGGCAACTCCATATCGTGAAGTGCAATACTTCTTTGTGTTCCTCTTCTTCCTCGTTAAATATTAATTGAGGTGACTCGTATTGCTTAAAAAGATCATCATTTATACGCATCTTCCTAATAAAATTATGAACTACAAAACATGCAACAATATCTATCTGAACATCAACTGGAAAAATAGAGGCATCTTGTCCAATATAGAAAATCTTGTTTTCAGAACTCCATAAGCACGTTCTATAACATTTCTGGGTTGTGCATCACCATGCTCAAATTTTTTCCTTATTAATAGTCCGCCTATGATGATAATCTCCTAACCAATATCGAACGTTACAATATGGTGCTAGAAATCCTTGAGTATTTTGATATGCCACATCACATAGATAATACTTAACTGTCATTAAAATAATGTTCAAATTATCACATTACAAAGTTAAATATTATTTCCTTATAGTTTAAGTTGTATCACAATTACTAAAAGGGGAAATGAAAAGCCATTATGTGGATTGGATTCAATTTCCATTAGAATTCTAGCATAATGTTACCCTTCCCATTCAACATAAACATAAGTGAAGTGCATACCATATTAAAATCACACTTGCTAAGTGTTTCTAAAGGATAAATCGACGAATGATGTGAACTCCTAGAGTTTTAAGTGCAATTATGAACATAAATGAGCGTTCCTAAAGAGTAAATTAACGAATTGCCCTTGAACGATCCACTCAAACTCCATAACTATACATAAATTTAGAGAAAAAAGGGAAAATTTATTGATTGCTGACAGATTCCGTTAATAAAAGGAAAATAGAATTAGATGGAAAGTTAGTTACAATTATTTTAGTAATCACGTGCATAACATGTGCCTAACTAATTGGTCAACTCATCATATGCTTTTAATTAGTCAACTAATCAATCAACTAATTCTACATTACAAAATAAGCAACAAGGAAATTAAGCACATATCAAAACTCCACCCTTAAAATAATTCTTGTCATCAGGTCAATAAGCGTCATTTCTTTAATAATATTGTAAGTGACGTATTCCCGTTCGAAAAAGAATGTAGTGAAACAGATTCGGGACCGTATCAAAGCAATGATATCTGGAAGGATTGAATTAGGAAAACTCCTAAGTAAACTTTAAGAAATTCATTCAAAAACTGATTTTTAGGTTCATTATTCAACTATTGGACCAAAACCTAGGTTGTAGACTTTTCTTTCTTCTTATAAAGTCTCTTGTCAAGAATAAACTCTGGAAGCAAAATGACATGTCTTGAATTCGTCTGAACACAAGGAAGAACCACAAAAGCAACATTGGAGTTGGAACCAATCTTCTTTTTGAATTGAGATATGTGAAATATGAGATGAATCTTAGAATATAAGCCACCGATCCATGATCTGAAAGAGACCAAAACATTTTGCAGATAAATTCTGAAATGAGTGATCCTTTATAGAGAGTTGCCTATTAGACTACAATTTTTACGAAAACCCAATCACCCACTTGTTAGCTTCTCTCAGTTCTATGCTTGTCAGCTTGAACTTTCATCCTGTTCTGAACTTTACTTATCTGAAACTTCAAACATTTGATGGTAGCTTCCCTAGCATGCATACTTTTGTCCACTACATCCGATTGAGAATCAAATGGTAATTTTCTAAAAATATCTTATCTACCTTCAAATTCTTTCTAATCACTCTTAAATTTTTACTAAATTGTTCCATAGATGAAATATAAAATATAATAAATATAACATATGAACAGATACAACAAAATATAACTAAACAAAGACAATATTCAAGATGATAAAAAGATCAAAAATGAAGAAAAAAACTTCATATTTTTTAGACTACAGAAGCAAAAAATAATCTAATTATAGTATGTTATGATATCTCTTATCTTTCTCCGACTCTAATTCACATGTATCTGGAGATTAAAATACAACAACACCAATAATAATATATCTTGTGTAATCTCAAAAGAGGGTTTGATCATATCAACGAGTTTGATGATCAAAGCGTCTCAACAAAATTAGTTGTGTAAAATAAAATTTTAATATAAGAATATACATAGTTCAACAATAAGTATATAACTTGAAAAAAGTTCTTTTAAGTTAAAAAATATTAGTCATTTGTTGCAATATAATACCTTGATTTTGGTTCTCAAAAATATTAATAGTATATTAACTTTAAATAGTTTAATTTAAATTTTAAAATACCAGACAAAGTCCTATAGTTATTTTACTAATAACTTAAAAATTGGAAAGACAAGTTACTACAATACTGATGTCAAAACCATAAACAAAGAAATAATGAATATTTTTAAATATTAATTGTATCCTAAAACAAAATTTTAATTAGAGATCTTAAGTATATAAGTGATTTCAAAGAGTCTCAATAAAATTAGTGGTCTAACATAAATTTCTAATAAAAGATCTGACGAGAGGGAGTTGCTCGGATGGAAAGCATCCCTCACTTTCAATCCGAAGGTTGCAAGTTCGAGTCACAAGGGAGCAAAAGGGGTGGGAGCTTCTAGGGAGGGTAAAAAAAAAATTTAAAAAATAAATAATAAAAGACCTCAAATATATATATAGTTCAATAAAAATAATATAGTTAGTACAATATTACATAGGGTTTTATCATACAAAGTCTCAATAAAATTAGTGGCCTAAAACAAAATTTTAATAAAACACCCCAAGTATATCCGCAGTTCAACAATGATAATATATCTTTGTAATCTCACAAGAAG